CAGGCTTTCGCGGGAGCGCGTGGGCAACCTCCTCGCGCGAGTCGACGTCTATAGCGACCGGGCGCAGTGAACCGGTCAATTCATGATCGGCTGCGAGGGCCTCGGCTCCTTCTTGCTGCGCGCCGTCGGCGCGTCGAACATCCAATTGGCCATGATCTTGCAGCGTTGCAGCGTGGCCTGCCCCGCGAACGCCCGGCTGCTCGCGTCCGTGGCGGCCCAGCTGCAGCGCTTTGGGCGCGCGGTCGAGGAGTCGCCGGGCAACCCCGCCTCGACGGCCCGCGCAGCTCCACGGCGCGCCTTCCTTGCGGGTGCGCCCGCGCGAGATCAGTCTCAGGGCGCCGGTGGCACCGTGGCTGGACCGAGTTGGGGCGGCATGGGTCCAGCTGCGCAAGGGTCGGCGCCGAGCCCGCCCGCGTCGGCAGCCGCCGTCGACGCCGCGCCATCGGCCCCTTCGGCGGAGGCGCCGCCGCAGCCGACCCCGAGCTGCGCGACGCTCACGCGGAACAGTGCGGCGCGCGTCTTTTCCGGGCGCGCGAGCGCGCCGAGGCGCGTGGCGCGGCTTCGACGACCGCGAGCCCGCGCGCCGCGCCTGGGGGGCCATTGAACGGATGGGCGACGGCCAGGTCGAGGGCTGCCGCGCCTTCCTGGCCGACGCGTCCGTGAACGACCTCCGGGGAGCTTCCGCGGGCTTCGGGAAGGGCACAGGTGGAGGTAAGTGGAAGTTCAGGGCCAGCCGCGCGGGTTCGGGCCGCCAGGGCAAACCCGGGGGCCCTGGCGGGGTGTGCGTCACATGCCACGAGTGCGATTCCGAGGAGCACCTCGTGAGCGACTGCCCCCGGCGCGGCGGCCAATGGCGCCCGCGCCGCTCGCCATCGTCGCCGCCGGCGCCCTCGCCCATCGCACCTCCTGGGGCATCTGGAGCTGCCCGGCTCCTGCCAGGAGCGCGCGCGGTCTGGGTGGCCAGGGGCGCCCCAGGAACTCCGCGGCCTGTTGCTCTGGGCCCCGGAAGTGGCCACCCCGCGCAGAGCGCTGGCCGCTGGAACGGCGGGCGGCCGATTCCAGCGGCAGCGGCGCCGCGGGCCCGCGCGGCAGCGGACAGGGGCGTGTCGGATGAGACCGCTCCGCAGCTGATCCGCGCGCAGTCTCGCCGATTGGCCCCTGTCCCTCGCGCGCCTCGGCAAGCCCTTCTGCCGTCGCCGGGCAGTGCGTCCAGCTTCGTCGGCAGCGGGCGCGGCGCTGCCCTGCGACCGCCCTCCTGGGCCTGCGCGCGGCGCCGTGCAGGCCTGCGGTCTCGTGGTGGCCGACCTCGTTGGGCGCGGGGTCGATCCCATCCAGCGCCTCGCCGTGGTGCCTGCAGGGCGAGCACCGATCTACCAGGTGGCCGGTTAAGCGTCGTAGTCGTCGCCGGCGCCCGGGCAAACTTCTGGGGGCTGCTTCGCCATGAATCTGACCCGCAAGGCTCGGCAGGCAAGACTGTGGCCCTCCGCGGAGAAGTTGTCCACCCCATTGTGCGTCGCATGAGTTGGCCACGGGTCACGGGTGGCACGTTGCGAGGTTCGCTGCCCCATTGTGACTACTTACCGCGATGGTTCGACTAGTCAGCGCAGCATGCGCGCTCCGCCCGTGGAGGGCGCAAGCGCTGACCTCCCCGCCCTATCAGGTCTGCAGTCCACGCAGTCCAGTAGCGGGGTGGTGGAGACAGACGAGGACCGCGAGCGCCTCGCCTTCCCTGGGCCAGGCGGCCGCGAGTTCGCGCGGTGCCACGGCGCCATCCACTTCGATCTGGAGTCGGCGCCGAGCGGTCATTCGCGCCCTTTGGCTCCTTGGCGTCGCGCTCGCGGCCCTGGGTGACGCTCGCCCCTCGCGCCTGAGGTCGCGCTCGACGCAGTGTCCGGTCGCGTTGGACGATTTGTTCAATCCGTCTTGAGTTGGGTCTTCGTTGTGACGAGAGAGCGCCCCGCGTGTCCTCTCCTCCTTCCTCCTTTCTATTCCCCCTGCGTGCCTCTGACGTCCCCGTGCCAATTTCGGGGCGCCCCCCGCGCGGCTCGTGGCCCCAAGGGGAGCTCCACCAGAGGCCCGGGTGGCCGCTCGCATGGCTCCACCGAAGGCCCAAGTGGTTGCGCTCGCATGGCGACGCCGCGCCAATGTCGGCACGCCCCTCACACGCTTCGTGGCGCCATAGGGAGCTCTGCCGAAGGCCCAAGTGGCTGCGTTCGCATGGCGCCACCGCGCCCATTTCGGCTGGCTCCTTGCGCGTGTCGTGGCTCCATAGGGAGCTCCACCGAAAGCCTAAATTGTTGCGTTCGCATGGCGCCGCCTCGCCCATTTCGGCGCGCCCTCGCACGTTTCGTGGCCCCACGGGGAGCTCCACCGAAGGCCCATGGGGTTGCGTTCGCATGGCGACACCGCGCCCAGTTCGGCACGCCTTTCGTACGCTTCGTGGTCCCATAAGGAGCCCCACCGAAGGCCCAAGTGGCTGAGTTTTTCATGTCGCCACCGCGTCCATTTTGGCACGCCCCTCGCACGCTTCGTGGCCCCATGGGGAACCCCGCCGAGCCCAAGTGGCTGCGTTCGCATGGCACAACCGCGCGCATTTCGGCACACCCCTCGCACGTTTGGCGGCCCCATAGGGAATCCCACCGAAGACCCATATGCCAGCGTTCGCATGCGACCACCGCACCGATTTTGGCACGCCCCTCGCACGCTTCGTGGCTCCATGGGGAGCTCCACCGGAGGCTCAAACGCCAGCGTTCGCATGCGCCCACCGCGCTACGCTTCGTGGCCCCACAGGGAGCATTACCGAAGGCCGAAATGTCAGCGTTCGCATACGCCCACCCCTCCCATTTTGGCACAACGCTCGCACGTTTCGTGGGCCATCGAATACCCAAATGACAGCGTTCGGGTGCGCCCGCCGCACCCGTTGTGGCACGCCCCTCTCGCGTGTCGTGGCTCCTTATGGAGCTCCACCGAAAACTCAAATTCGGGCGTTCGCATGCGCCCGCCGCGCCCATGTTAGCACGCCCCTCACACGTCTCGGGGTCCCATCGAGCGCCCCACCGAAGGCCCAAATGCTAGCGTGCGCATGTGCCCACCGCGCCCATTTTGGCACGCCCCTCACACGTTTCGAGGCCCTACAGGACCCCCCGCCGAAAACCCAAATGCCAGCGTTCGCGCGCACCTACATTACCCATCTTGGCACGCCCCTCCCGCGTTTCGTGGCCCCAGAGGGAGCCCCACCGAAGGCCCAAATGCCAGCGTTCGCATGCGCCCACCGCACCCATTTTGGCCCCCCCCCCCCCCCACACACGCTCGTGGCCCCACAGGGAGCCCCACCGAAGGCTCACATTCTAGCGTTCGCATGTGCCTACCGCACAAGTTTGGCACGCCCCTCACACGTGACGTGGATCCATAGGGTTTACCATCGAAGGCCAAAATAAATGCCAGCGCTCGCGCGCGCTCACTTCGACCATTTTGGCTCACCTCTCACACGTTTCGTGGCCCCACAGGGAACCCCACAGAAGGCCCAAATGCAGCGTTCGCATGCGCCTACCGTGCATTTTGGTACGCCCCTCACACGTGTCGTGGCCACCGAACCTATTTGTGCACGCCCCACATACGTTTCGGGGCCTCCTCAGGAACCCCACCGAAGGCTGAATGCCAGCGTTCGCATGCTCCCACGGCACCCATTACGGCACGCCTCTCACACGTTTCGTGGCCCCACAAGGAGCCCCACCGAAGGCCCAAATGACATCGTTCGCATGCACCCGTCGCACCCATTGTGGCACGCTCCTCACACGTTTCGTGGTCCCATAAGGAACCCCATTTTGGCACGCACCTCACACGTTTCGTGGTCATACGGGGGGCCCCACCGAATGCCCGAATGCCAGCGTTCGCACGCGCCCACCGCGCCCATTTTGGCACACCCTTCACACGTTTCGTGGTCCTACATGGAACCCCAACCGAAGGCCCAAATGCCAGCGGTCGTGCGCGCCTACATCACCCATTTTGGCACGCCCCCCACGCGCTTCGTGGCCCCATAGGAAGCCCCACCGAAGCCCCAAATGCCAGCGTTCGCATGCGCCCACCGCACCCATTTTGGCACGCCCCTCACACGCTCCGTAGCCCCACAGGGAGCTCCACCGAATGCGGTGCATACAACGACGGTGCCCACAATTGCAGACGGTTGGGTTTTTCGCGAGGCAATTTTCAGGGGGCAGGTTATGTGAGAGGGAAGGTTCGCCACCTTCCTTTACGCATCGCTGGTCCGAGGAGGACCAGAGCACATGCTGCTTGATTGATCTCGTTCAGAGCTTCGAGGCAGTGGCCTGCATCGCCACGATCTGCCCGCTGCGGCTCTTGCGGCTACCTGGGAGCGACTGGCGGATCCATCGCGAGGAAGAGGCTGGAGGGGAAAAAACACAGACACAATTAATCGGCGATTCCGAGAAAATATGGGAAAATATGGGAAGCGGGGGGGGAAGACACAAGCCCAGAAAAGATTGAAAAATATGGGGGATATCCTTACTGGTGTGTACGTACTTCTTTGTGTGTCCTGGGGCCCCTTCAGAAGAGGCGGGAGGCCGGGAAGGATCCGGCCACTCGCGGGGGCGCGAGGATAACCCCGCTCCGCGCGTCGCGTCGTGGGCCACAGCGGCTGCCCGTGTTTCCCAGGGCGCGGGGGCGCGACGGCGCAGAGATCATCGTGCGTCGGGCGCCCTGGAGCGACGCCCAGGTCTGCGAGGGCTGGCGAGGACGCGTGCTTAGGAGGAGGAGGAGGAGGAGGAGGAGGAGGAGGAGGAGGAGGGGGAGGAGGACGACGACGAACATTTCGGGGAGGGGAGGGCGCGACGGCGGGCGGCCCTCCGGTGACCCCCCTCGAGGAGCAGGCCCTGCCCCTCACCGTGCTGGGCGCGGCAGGGGAGGTGCGGGACCTCCGGAAGGGCCTGGGCAGCCTGAGCAAAGTCCTTCGGCACTTCGGGGACGCGGTGGAACTGGTGGAGGAGCGAGGGATCACGCCCCGTGCATTCAAGTTTATTTTGTTTTTTTGTTTTTGTTTTCCTCTCTTTTTCTCCTCCCCCTCCACGAGCTATGGACATTATGGTAGGACATGACCCAAACACATACACAGAAACACGATCGCCTCATAACTCCTAGCCACAATCGCGGGAGTTAGCACGCACGACGACCATGACCAACTGTTGCTGGATCTTGTCGATGCCAACCGTCGTCGATTCGCGAGGATGATCTACGAATCGACGATGGACCAAGGTGGACGGTGACCAAGAACGACACCGACGTTTCCACATTTAGTCTTGGTCAGGGTCATCGTTTTCTGTTCCTCCATGTGCCGATTTCGCCCCCCCTCCGCCCCTGCCCCCCCCCCCCCCGCCTCTCCCCTTTGCCCCTGCTTGGAGTGAGGGGCGTGGTGGGGCGTGTTGGCGGGCGTACGTCGGCAGTTCAACAAGTCTGGGGGGCGACACTTCGTCTTTGATCGGCTTGGACCTCGCTTCCTGTGTATTCACTGCATCTCGAATCTCCTGTTGTGTCGTAGCCGCCTATGGGGCCTGCGAGGCCCAAGTTGACCCTTCCCGACATGCCAATGATACCAACGCGTGAACCCCAAACAGTTGATAAAGTGCAGCACTGTGTGTGTGTATGTGTGCCGGGGTTCCTCCTCCTCCTTCCTTGCATCGCGGCCTTGATTCGCATGCAGCGTGTCCCTTGTTGTCTTTCCGCCGGAGCAGTCGCCTTCTGCCCAGCCGCCGACGCCAAATGTGTGTGTATGTGTGGCCCTATGCGTGCGTGGAGCCCTGTGGGCGTGTGCGTGGGAACCACTGTGCGTGTGTAGACCCCGTAAGTTGGAGACTCTCCAGGCGGAACCGCACGCGTGTGTGTATATACATACCTACGGAGTGAAAGCACTTGCCTCTTCTCCACCCGCCTGCTGGTTCCCCCGCGAGGGGGCGCACTCGCTCGCGCTGGCTTCCGCGCGTTCCCACGCCTCCGGGCGCGTGTCTCTGTCTTCTCTCCCCGTCCGCGGGGAGGGGACAGCCCGTCCGCTGCAGGGAGGATCACGTCGCGGCTCGGGCACCCGCCGTACAGTCAGCCCGCATTGTAAGCATGGGCAACCTTCCCAAGGGTACCCTTGCATCCTTGCCCTTAAGCCCATCCTTGGCCGCTCTCGTTGGCCGCGCCCCGCTCGAAAAGCTGCGAAACGGGCGTCCAAGGCCCTCGCGTCCTTAACGCACATCCTTGCTCCACGGGTTGATTGTGCTGCCCAGGCCCTGGCGTGCTGTGCCTTTTTCTTCGGTCTGGGCATTGGTTGCCGGCGCCTCGGCCCCCGACGGCTCGCGCTCCCTTCTCTCGCGCGCGGCCAGCGCCGACGCAGTCCGACAGCCCGTGGGCCCCGTCCAGGTGTACCGTCTCCCCCCCCCTCGGGTGAAGGGTGTCTGTTGGTGGACAGCCGCCTGGAGGTCCGAGGGTCGGGGTCTCGTCCGCTCGGGTGCCCCCGGCACACCCGCGGTTTCTGCGCTCCTCGAGGACGGGGGCAGCGCCGCGGGCGGCGAGGCGGTGCTGAGGCTGGCACCGTGATGGCACGGCTACCGCAATCCGCTTCGGCTCCCTGGCTGGTGGTTTTCCCTCCACCCGCTCCTTTTTGTAAGTGTGCCGCCTGTTTTGCTGTTTTGCCCACTTGGCGCCATTGCAGCAGCTGCGCCATTTTTACTTCCACTCCGCACCTAAGTGTTGTGGCTCGCCTTTGCACCCTCACCGCGCGCCCTTCTGCCCCTGCCAGCACAAGTAAAATGTGCCGATGCAGCCAGAGCGCCCCCCGCCTGAGGGTTCTCCGCGTGTCTCCTGAAGACAGCCGGCGCAGTAGTCCGGTGGATCGCCACGGACAGGCGCTGGAACAGCTGGGCCGCGCCAGTTCCAAGCTTCTCTCCCCTTCTCCTGTCGTTGGCCTGGGCAAGCCGGCGCAGTGCGTCGGCGCCGGTGGGGCCCCAATCGCCAGACGGTTCTGCCACAAGGGGAATGAGTGTGATCCCCTGCTGCTGGCACAGGCGCTCAGTGTCGAGGTGCCGCTTCTTCACCATCTCGTACTCTTGCACCGCGTGTCCACTTCCCTGGAAAGTTAGGTCACGAGCGGCCTGCATAAAAGTCAAATGCAGCAGGCGCCCGCTGGATCCAGGACGGAATGTCGACGTGGCCAGCGCCCATTCGTCTGGGTGACGTCTGGGCGGGGTGTAAGGAGGCCCGGTCGTTCGAGTGTCGTCTTGAAGCCCGCGCTGATAGCGAGCGCCGACTACGTTCCCCGCCCCGTAGTGCTGGTGGACCAGGTCCCTGGATCCAGCGTGAATGCCCGCGTGCTGGCCGTGCGGTCCCATGCGCCTTCGCCGCAGGGGCAGACATGCTCAGTTTCGTACGCAGGCGTGAGCAGCCGGCGCTTCACCTCGCGCGCGAACTGCTCGGGTTCGAAGAGGAGCCCCAATTGCTCGCTGGGCTGCGCTTCGAGGAAGCCCGCGGCGCCTGGCAGCATCTTCGAAAGGATGTCAGCGCGGTCTGCGGCATCCGAACCAGCTGGGAAGACCTGGTGCCCGCGCTCCTCAATCGCGGCCGAGAGGTGCTTCTGCGTGGCTTGATCGAGCGCCTCAGGAGCCAGTCCGCGCGCTGTCGGCAGCAAGGCGTTTGTGAGCCCCGAGCGCGCGTCCCTCCAGCGTGGCCGCGTCCTTCGGCGCCCGAGTGTAGGCCGCGTCCAAGTTGCCGCTCAGGTGCCGCGTGGTGGCTGGCCAAGTAAGCGCCGGGCGCGCGTTCTGTCAGCTGCCGCAGGCCCAGCCCTGCGCGGGCGAGACCTCGGGCGGCTTGGTTCCACTGCGTGTCCGTCAGGTCCGTTGCGAGCAGGTCCGACGCCGCGCGCCGCTGGCCATCGTCGAATCAACGCAGCGACTCCGAGAGAAGGGCAGACGGCGCTGTCCAAGCGCAGCATGCGAGTTTGGCGTTGCTCGCGCAGTAGCGCAGGAGTGCTTGGCCCACCTGGGGGTGCAGGTCGGCGAGCGTCTCCAGGGCTGGCTTGGTCTTGTCGGCGCGGCGCTCGGTGAAGGATTTGCAGTGTTTCTTCGTCCCAAGGGGGGCTTCCGGCAGCCCGAAGCCGCGTCGAGGGCGGCGCGGGCGGCCGTTGTCTCTGCGTCCACCGAAGGGGGCGCCGGGAAGAGCTCCGCCAGGCGCTCCGGCGCGCGCCCGCGAGGGAGCGCGAGCTCGCTCTTGCCGGGGTGGAGTTGGCGGCCCAGGTCGGGGCAGCGGCGCTGTGGCGTCGCCGGCGCCCGCGCCGCTGCCTCCTTCAAGCCTGCCAGGAAGCCATCGTCTAGGTGGAGGGCGCACGGGTCCAGGTCTGCAGCGTTCGCGAGCTCCTCCAGCACCCGGGTGCGCGGTGAAGGAGAAGAGCAGCGGGCCCAGCGGGCCTGCTGCTGCGCGCCCGCTTGTGCGGACAAAACGTGGCTCCCGAAACTCATGTTGGATGGCTCCGCGTGCGCCTGGCGCGCCCGGCGCCCCAGCTCTGGGGGGCGGGGGCAGACGGCGCGCTGCGCGGAGCCCCGGTGCAGCGAGCTGGAGAAGTCAAGTTTAATCAGCACCTTGCCGTCCACGCCTGCGTTGCTATCGCACCGCTGGCGCGCGGCGTGATCCGTGGCTCTGCCCCCAGAGGGCTGCGTCGGCCTGTCTGCAGCGGCTGGGGCACTGGGCGCCCGTGGCCCCTCGCGTGGTCGCGCGGCGTCTTGCTCGTCGAACGGCGCGTGGCATCGCCGACTGCGATCGGTCGCAGTCCGCCGCCCTCCGGAGGCCCTCCGCGGCGCAATCGGCCGCCCCGGCAGCGCGCTGCTCCGTCGTCGGCGCCTGCCGCCTGCGCCGCCGCCCTGCGTTCTTAGCGCGCGCCTCCTGCCAGAGCGCCAGGCGCTCTCGGGCGCCCCGTCGCGACGGGCGGTCGAGAGTGAAGGCGGTCAGCGCGGCTGTGTCCTCCCGGCCGTCGCGGGGCGGCGCGCGGGGCGCGGCCTCCGCCGCCGGCTGGAGGTCCGCCCAGGCAGCAGCTTTCGTGGGGCAGCGGGCGAACGTGCGTGGCCGAGCCGCCGGGGCCCGCGTGGGCGCGTGGCTTCAACGCGGCCGCCTCCGCCTCGTGGATGTCGGCCAATGGAGGGCGTGCCCAGACGCCGCGGGTTATTGGGGGGCGCCTGGAGCTCGATCTGGCTGCAGCTGGTCGCAGAGCGGCTCGGTCGGCAGGTCGGCAGCGAGGGCGCGCCCCGCGCGCGGGGGCTCGGCGCCGGGCGCGGCCGTGGCGCCGCGGCCCCTCCGCAGTTACCTCTCCAGCCAGTTGCCCTGCCGGGTGGGCGTCCAGATGCCGGCGGGGGCTTTGGAAGCGCGGCCCGCCCGGAGTGCTCGCGGGGCCCGCGCGGGGGCATCCAGCGACCGGGCAGTGCCGGCCAGCCTGGGGGGGCCAGCGGCGGGAGGCGTGGCCTCGTCTAAGTTCAGCCTGCGTACTTCCTGCTCCGCACGCTCGACTTCGTCGCCTCCTCGGCGGCCCCGGCGGCGCAGGCCCGAGCCGGCGCCCTGCGGATGCGCCGCCGTGAAAAGACCGCGGGAATGATTGGGCGACGCAGGTTGAAATCCCACGGGGCGCGCGTCCGCCGCCCGCGTGGCCCCGGGCGCCCCGCGCCGAGAAGGCGAGGCAGAAGATGGGCGTGAACGCGTGAACAATCTCCGAACGGCCCCTGGCGCGCCGTCAACTTTGCAACGCTTCCGCTGAGATTGGCGCCGGGGGGCGGCGCCGCAGGGCGGCGCCGCGGGGGTAGCGAGCGGCGTCCCCACCCTTGGCAGGGATGTCCCTCTCGTGCCCAGGCAGCGCAGTCGTAGTTCCCTGAGGTGGCGCGCTCCGACTGCGCCCCCGAACGGATTGGCGATGCCCCGTGGCCTCCGCCCCCCCAAACCTCTCCGCCGAGGCGTGAATCCTCGGAGGCCG